ATTTTCCTCGCGCTGTACCACACCAATGCACTGCCACCAGTGGCTAATCGAAATACGAAGTTAGAGGTTCGTAATCTGCATTCTCGGAGCTCGTCGAATAAAGGACTGCCTCGATAGCATCTCTTAATTTTGGGGATACAATATCCTTCCAAGTAATCCCGGATCCCTTTAATGATTTCCTCGAAACTCGAGCTCAATTAGTAGCACCGGCGTGTTCTCTGAGACATCTTATCAAACAGCTTGTTCGCAACATCATGCAATTGAATCTTTCTCCCCGATCTAACTTTCAACAAATCTTTCAATAATTGGTTAAAATTGTTTTAGTTCGTAGATTCGAATTTTTCTTTCTTGTTCACATTTTTATTTCGCTCAATTCGATTTTCCTTTGCCTTTGAACAATATAAACTCCAAACAAAAACATTCCGGCTGCTTCAACCCAAAGTCAAGAGGACTAGGGTGGCACTACCTCGCAAGAATGCCCCTAGGACTAGGCTTCATCAGAAAACTGGAACTCGCTTATTCCCTTGCTGAAAACCAGGTGCCCCGTAGTTTCTCCATTGTTTCTTAATATTTCTCCATGAAAGAGCTCGCGGACGGCGGCTCTAGTTAACTGTGGTGCTCTCGTGGAGATTTTTTCCAAATTGATTTCACATCCAATTCAAATTAACATTCCCTTTCTTTCAGTTGACTATGGTTGGCACCCTTAGACGATCAGATCTACAGAGGCGGAGCTTGTAGGGAGCCCACACGACCGATACGAAGAAAAACAACTGACCGAGCTCATCGCCCAGTTGGCGGCACTGGGTTTCGGCGAGGAGAAGAAGATCTGATTTCGGCGAGGAGATGAGCCCGCGAGATTCAGCTCGGCAAGCGTTCGGTCGGCGATCATAGGTTTTGCGAGACTCGATCTCGTCAAACGGGGTCGGCGAAACTTGGCCCGGTGGACACGGGTCGACGAGCACTGAGACGGGGTTGACTGCTTCTTCTCTCTTTTCTTCTCCCACCTCGGATTCGTCAAGCTCTTGACTCAGGATTTGGACTCGTTTCATGTTGTTTACCTGGTGAATCTACTTTGATTTCTTTTTCTCTTTAGATTTTGGTCGAGTTCAGCCATTAGGGAAATATTTATTTCCAGATTTTTCTCTTTGTACTTCATCGATTCATCAGATCTGGATTCCAAGCACAAGATTTGAGCCCCTTTCTTGGTTTCCCGTTAAAAAACTCCCCAAGAAATACAGTGAACCGTTCTTCCTTGATCTTGCAGCTCATTATCTCCAACCTCATGGAGAAGATCCAAAAATTCAAATCATCTCACGTCTTAGCTCGAGGTCTGTTCCCACAGACGGCGCCACTTGATTTGCTCCAAAATGGTCGAAACGATGACGTGGGATCCTTGGAAGATATTTTGGATGATAGCTTGTCGGGGATTCCACCGGAGGGGTACCTGCAACGCCGGGAGGGGTTTCCCGGCGTAGAAGCTCCGACGATCAAGTCAGTTTTTATTCAGAGATAATCGATTGTGATATGTAAGAGAGAGCATAGAAGTGATAAGTTGAGAGTAACTCCCTATTTATAGGTGAGGATACTTGATGGGCAAGAAATAAGCAAACTTGCCCTAACTCCTCTTATTGGGCCTGATATGACTTTTGGCCAAATACAAGTGAAAACTCAATCCACGGCCCAATAAATGATTAGGAAACCCCATGAGGACAATTTGGTCCGTATCAAGGTGGATATATTTGCAAGACAAAAAAATAGAATATCCAATTTTTAATTAAGTATCCTTATGATTGGTCTATTTCTCATTTGTCATATATTTATACCCTAGATACATCAATTAGTACTTTATAATTCTTCAAAGGGCAAATTACCAAAACCCCCCTGAGGTAAGTCTGAATAACGAAAATTCCCCCCACGTTCTCGTAATTACGAAAACCCCCCTAAGGTATGCAGACATCTTACAAATCACTCTAACGGTGTTAAACTCGATAGAATCTTTTTGATTCTCCCGAATATTCCTCTGATAATACTAATTTTGCCCCTTTAACTTTTACCCCTTTCGTCGGACGCTTCGATATTCCTATCCCGCATCACCAACAAATGCTCGGAAATCAACGGCCCGGAAATCCGGGCGACCCCAATCACTTCACAACTTCAGGAAGAAACCCGACCCGGAATTGGAGGACCCGAATCAACCAAACCCAGCTTGTTTCACAGGCCTCCACAGTCCTCCTGCAACGACACTCCAAATTATGGGCTCCGCTTCTCAAACCCCTCAAGTTTTCCTCCAATTTTACTCCTTCCCTCTTTCACCAAATCTTGAACAGAATCGAAACCCACCCCAAAATATGTTTTAGTTTCTTCAATTGGGCTCAGAATACCCTCGATTTCAAGCCTGATATCGGCGACCGGTGCCGGATTATCCGGACACTGTTAGGGTCGGAGCTTTCTGTACTTGGAAACCCCATCATAGATTCAATTGTTCAAGATTACCCACCTGCCAAGATTTTCCCTCTATTGATTCAATCGCGCAAAGCTGTTGATTCTCAGAATATTTCCCCGGTTATGAACTCCGTGGTCGAATGTTATTGCAGCAAACAAATGTATTCTCAGAATATTTTTCACATATTCAACAGAAGGATATAATAGACATTTCACGTTTTCGGTTAAAAAATTCGGTCAACCCTTAGTCAAGGGGGGTTTTCGTAATTACGAGAACGTGGGGGGATTTTCGTTATTTAGGCTTACCTCAAGGGGGTTTTGGTAATTTGCCCTTCTTCAAATGAAACAATTATATTTATATCCTAGATACATCAATTAGTACTTTATAATTCTTCAAATGAAACAATTACGAGGTCTTGATTTTAATGAAACAATATTATAAGGACTGTACGTGTAATATTTTAAGTCCTAGACACAGGCCGTGAGCCATTAAAATATCTCCTATATATGCCAAACATGTCAACTGTTTATCACTGTCATTTAATAAATTAATTAATAACAATAATATATAAATAATTGCATGTTATGATCATGAATATATAGATAATTGTTATATGAATTTAATAGTGCACTAATATATATATATATATATATATATATATATATATATATATATATATATATATATATATATATATATATATATATATATATATAATGGCAGCTAAAGAAATCTGCATCTACCAACAAATTCAAAGTTGCTGATTATTCAAAGCGTTTACCAAGCCATCTTCGCACGTCCTCGAAGAATATGTCAATAACAATTTTATAGAAAATAATTTGGTGCAAGTCTATAAAGTTATACTATAATAAAATTATATTAAATAATAATAGTTATTAATAATAGATATTTTCCGTAACTATAAATTCTACTTTTATTATTTTGAATTTCTACAAGTTTTTATTTACTTTATTATTATTTAATCATATTCTGACCATCTTATTTAATTTGTAATTTTGCTAACTATGAAATCAAAAACCCGGAAATGCCAGGTTATTATTTAATTTATTATTTAATATTTTGAGGGAAAATAGTTTTTCTTGTGGCAGTCAAATTATGTTGAAGATGTTAGGAAAAGAAATTTAAAAGAAGAATTTAAAAAATAAAATAATTTTTTTTTACGTATTTTATTGAAGACAAAAGTTGCTATAATTCAACGAAAGGGTTTTGTATAGTTAGTGAAATACACAATTTAGTTTTAAACCACCGATCTAAACATAATAACACATACGTTCATGTATATGTGTGATTAATGAGTATTTATTTATGTAAATCTACGGTTTAAAACCGAAAATTAAATACTACACCTGGTCATTTATACTAGGTGGATTTAAACCGTAGATCTACACATAATCACTCATCCATGTGTACGTGACTATGTGTACTTAGTGTGTAGTTATTTAATCAAATATACGGTTCAAGTCCACAAAGTGTAAATAATCAGGTGTAGCATTCAGTTTCCCATTTAAGACCACACGGTATATTTCATCAATCAGGCATAAGATCTCATATAACCCGAAAGGGAATTTTTCTTTTTCTTTTTTCGAATTCTTTTGAACTTAAATTTATAAGCAGCTTAAAAAACGTGTATTATTATCTATTATGGTAATAAAACAGGTGTCAACGATCGCTAGCTCGAGTTTGTCACGCATAGCTAGTTTAGAGTAGTTTACTTATCTTATATAATTTGCAAGCTATTATACGAGACCGTAGATTTATTCAGTACACCTACATAATTGTATGCCATATCCTCCCTTACCAAAACAAAAAACAAAAAATGGGAAGAAATTCAAACAATAGACCAATGACTAATTAATCAGTCACATAATTAAAAAAATATTCCTTTCCCTAGTGTCGGCTGTCACATCTGACTTTTCTTATTTCCATCAAAGATTTTTGTTTTTTTTTGATAATTTGTTTTTGCATCAATTTAATTTATGGTAAATTACACCCACACTTTTAAGGTTTTCAGAGGTATGCTTAAATAACTTTAAAATCCCTATAGTATTGATAATTACACTCATCCCTTAAAATATAGTTAAAAAATCTAATCTAATAACGCATTGGATACATGATTGGGATAGAGTTCTAACGGATTATTACATTTTAGCTAGTAGTGACATGGTTCCCCCAATATTTCTTAAATCAGCCATAGCTCTATGTTATCTGTACTACTTCCTGAAACTAATAGTCCATTTAGAACTCTATCGGAAAAACGTATCAAATGCATTAGAGTTTCTAACTTTGTTTCAGGGAGTAAATGTAATTATTAATACCACAGGAACTTTAAAGTTAGTTTAACATATCTTAGGGGTGTGGGTGTAATTTACCCTTTAATTTATACGTCCACCACCTAACTCTAAAAATAATAATAACGTAATTACACACTCTACCCACCTAACTCAATTTTCCCATCCACTCTTCTTTGCCCTACTACTCCCATTATATACTGGCACCATCTCCACAAACACGCACATTTCACCTCCACTGTGTGCTTTCATTTCAATACGTATATCTCAAAAAATATTAATTAAATTAAATTAAAATCATCGTCGTCCTCGTAGAACACAACCATGCCTTCAGAAACGAAGAAGCTCCACATAGCTATGTTCCCATGGATAGCAATGGGCCACGTCACACCCTTCCTCCACGTAGGCAACGAGCTCGCCAAGCGAGGCCACACCGTCTCTCTCCTCCTCCCCAAGAAGGCCCTCCTAAAGCTCGGCCACGCCGCCGACCCCGGCGGCAGCCCCGTCAATTTCCACACAGTCAAGGTGCCCCACGTCGCCGGCCTCCCCGCCGGCGCCGAGACCTGCTCCGACATCGACATCACCGAGAACAACTTCCTCGCCATGGCCTTTGACGCCATGTCGCCGGAGGTGGAAGCCCTCCTCCGGGACACGATCAAGCCGGACGTCGTGTTCTACGACTTCGCCCACTGGATCCCGGATCTCGCCTCCCGGGTCGGGTTCAAGACCGTCTGCTACCAGATCGTCTCCGCCTCCTGCATGGCGTACGGCGTCGTTCCGGCGAGGACGATCCCCAAGGACAGGCAGCTCACGGCGGAGGAACTGGCGGCGCCGCCGCCAGGCTACCCCTCCTCCACGGTGGTTCTCCGCCGCCACGAGGGCATGATCATGTCCTTCATCGGTCGGGACTACGGCGACATACGCTTCGACGAGCGGATGGCCGCCGCCTTGAGCGGCTGCGACGCCATCGGGATACGCACGTGCGCCGAGATGGAGGGCCCCATGTGCGACTACTTATCGGAGCAGTACAAAAAGCCCGTTTTCCTAAGCGGGCCGGTTCTGCCGGAGGTTCCGGAGGGCCCGCTTGAGGAGAAGTGGGACACGTGGCTGAATAAATTCCCGCCGAAATCCGTGGTGTACTGCGCCTTCGGCAGCCAAGTAATTCTGAAGAAGGAGCAATTTACGGAGATGGTGTTGGGTTTCGAGATGACGGGGCTGCCGTTCTTTATCGCGGCGGCGAAGCCGCACGGGGTGGAGAAGGTGGAGGAGGCGCTGCCGGAGGGGTTCATGGAGAGGGTGGCGGGGAGGGGGGTGGTGCACTGTGGGTGGGTGCAGCAGACTCAGATACTGAGTCACGACTCGGTGGGTTGCTTCGTGAGTCACTGCGGGTTCGGGTCGATGTGCGAGTCGTTGATGAGTGACTGCCAGATTGTGCTGGTGCCGAGATTCGGGGACCAGGTGCTGAACGCGCGGCTGCTGACGGCGGAGATGAAGGTGGCGGTGGAAGTGGAGAGAGGGGAGATGGGGTGGTTCTCCAAGGAGGATCTGTGTAACGCCGTTAAGACGGTGATGGATGTCGGTAGTGAGGTCGGGGATTTGGTGAGACGGAATCATGCCACGTGGAAGGAGACTTTGGTCAAGCCCGGGTTTATGGATAATTATATTGACAATTTTGTCCAGCAATTGTATCAGCTTTAATTCCGTTTTTTTTTTCTTAAATAATAATAATAATTATTATTATTATTATTAGTATTTTAGATCCTTTCTAAAGTATGTTTTGAGGGTATTTTGGGTGTAATGAGAAATTTATTATAGTTTTACTATACACGTGTATTGTGGAATGTTTCTTCTGATTTAAACTGATGAATAATATGGATCGAAGATAGTAATTAGTTTGCACGCTATGTATATGAGTATCTATTAGCGTATATATTATATATATATTACGTATATTATTATACGTAATATATATATAATATATACGCTAATAGTATCAATATCAAAAAACATATGAAATTAACTTCAAATCCTAAGAAAAATATTGTCAATTGGGACCACAAAATAAGGGGTTTGTATGAATCTAGTAACGAATGCACCTAACTCTTAAAATGTCGATGTACTACCGTAGCTTATTGATATTTGTCATCGTTTTATAAGGCAATTAATTGGTTGAAAAGGGTTTGTATCAATAGATTTTATTGCTACCGAGAACGAATATAGTAATTAGTTTGCACGCATTGGTGTGTATAGCCAAAATGAGTTTTGGTTCTATAATGTTGAATTTGGTGTCACCATCCTTTGATTTCCGCATTACCATTATCGTGTATTAGTGGATTTGTGATTTGTGTGCCTGTTACTAAGGGTGGGCATTCGGGTCGGGTCGGGTTATTCGGGTTATTCGGGTCGGGTTATTCGGGTTTTTTGCAAAAAAAATATTACCCGAACCCGACCCGAGATAACCGGGTACCCGGCAACCGGGTACCCGGTTATTTCGGGTCGGGTTCGGGTCGGGTTCGGGTTTTGCTATTTTTTTTATTATTTTTTTTTTTTTTTTCATTTTTGACAAATAAATAGTAACTAAATTTACTTAAGATATATATATATATATATATATATATATATATATATATATAGATTACAGACATACATATATATACATATACAGAGATACAGACTATACATATATATAGACATATACATACATATACTGCATTACATATACATATACTGATATATATACATATATATATATATATAAAAAAAAAAATAAAAAAAAAAATTAACCGGGTACCCGATCGGGTAACCCGGTAGGATTTCTAATACCCGGACCCGACCCGGTTTGGGAGCACCGGGTACCCGAACCCGGAAAAAACCCGGTTTCATAAAAAATTACCCGATCCGGTCGGGTAATACCCGACCGGGTCGGGTTATACCCGAATAACCCGACCCGAATGCCCACCCCTACCTGTTACACATTGTGATTTTATTTATGTTTGGTGAATGCCAAAAAGGCGGGAAAAAGAACAATTAAGTTGGCAGGAGTACATGGGGAGTTCAAATAACTGTTAAAATAGTTGACAAACGTAGTGCAAGAGAGAACTAATTTGTGAAGTTTTTAGTTTATGTTATTTGAGTAGTTATCTACCTTGGTTTTGGAACTATAGTTTATTTATTATTTACACTTGAGATAATTTGACCATTTTGCATATAAAGAGAAGCATATTTTTTTCTACGATTTTTCGTGGTAGGAAAAAGGGACGACTAGAAGAAAGGGTGCAAAATGAAGAAAAATGGTGCAAACATTTTTTATTTTCTCGGAAATTAAAGAAAGACAATTTTGCCCTTTTTCAAATCTCACAAAGCCGGTTGCCTGTCACTTTGCGAGCCAAGAGGTGATGGAGGGTGCAAAGTGTAACGAAATTTGTAATTGGAAGGTGCCAATTGTTTTTTTTTTTTTCTTTTTGTTCTCTTTTTGGTGCTGAGTATCAAACTCATGCAATTAGAGGGTCAAAAGTGTCAATTTATAATAACATTGTTTTTATATAATAAATCATTTATATAACGATAAAAGTTTTAGATTAAAAAAAATTGAAATTATTTTTATTTTTTACTAATATTTATAGTTATGTATTGGTTAATTTATAAAATAAGCAAAAATAATAATAAATATATAAAAAATATTGCGAGTTTACTCATGAGTTTGTGAACAATTAGAGATGGGATTGAGTTCGTCAGAAAGCTCGAGCTCATAAACTCCAATCCGATCACATAAAACACGTTGGAGATTTAGCTCAAGCTTTTGTCAAGCCGGCTCGGCTGGTTTATACCCCTAAACTGAATATATTTAAACCGGGAGTGTAATTTTGTCATGAATATATTAGTATTTATGCTAATATAGTTATCAAAAATCAACCAATGAGTTTATGTATAAATGCCTCGTTTGCTTAGTGCTATTAACCTCTATTAACTAAATAGTAGGGGTTAGTAAGATGTTTGGTTGATGAGATTCGTATTTAGTCAAGCCCTCCCGCAATTAAGTGCTATTATTTGGTTAAATTAGTAGCACCCCTCCTAGACGATTAATTTTGTAGGGATGATTAAAAGAGGAAAATACAATGTTATCCTTAAATAATATCTTAATTTTTTTTAATTAAAATACTTTTTAGACAATTCCCATCAAATACCATAATTTAACAAATTTAATACAAGATTTAATCTAACGAATCAAACATCTTACAGAATAAATAATTAATTAGTCAGTGAAATATTAATGTAATCAAACGAGGGCAAAAGTAAAAAAACAGATGGACGGAAGGGAGATGGGATGGTTCTCGAAGTTTGGATTTGTGTAACGCCGTTAAGTCCAAACTATGATTAATTGTGTAAGTATTACTTAACTTTTTATTTTTTATTTATTTCTTTATTATTTTTTACTTTTTTTTACAACCACTTACGAGGGTATGGTCAATCAACGAAAAAACCCTTTCTAATTTGAATAATTACATTTACCCTTCAACTATGATTGTTTCATACACCTCCACCCTTATAAAATTTAATATTAAATTATGGATTTATCTTAAAATTAGAGAAAAAAAAAAGGATCCCCTCTAATAGTAAATGTCATATGAGGGGTTTTGTCAAATAATCCCTAAAATCTTTAATCCTTATTTAAACTTAAAAAACCACGATTAAAAGAGAGAAAATAAATGATTTAACTTTTTAGGGTGTTTTTGGTATAACAAGAATTTCAAAAGGAAAATAAAAAGTATCAACTACCCCGATGTTAAAAATACAATATCAACTACTCCTACTTTAATGTATAAAATGTAATTAGTTTGAGAAATTCCATTCAAACCCGATGCAATTTGTACTTGTTACATTCACCCCCCTACAAAAGGTGTTAACATTAGACATTTACAAATTTCAAGGGGATGGATGTAATTATCGGAAAATGAGGGCCTTTTTTTGTAAATAAGCCTTACTTCAGGGACGATTGATGTAATTTAGTGTATATATGTATTGAAATTGAAATGTTTTTTTGGGAGTGGGAATATGCAGAGAACACAAATAGCCTGGTTGTGCTCAAAAAAAGATTGAAAAGTTGTAGTTGACTTTGATTCCCACTTGGTGGCTAATTTTAATACTTTAATAAAACATACAAATAAAATATCTATTTTATTTATTTATTATTTATTTATTATGGGGACCACAAATGGGCGGTCTGTATCAATTTTGCAACGAATCTACTGCTACAGAACACCACATGACTCTTGAATGCAAGTAATATTTTGCAAGGAAAAAGGCTGAAATTAAATAAAACGATGAAGAAAAAGAAAATCTTTTTGTTAGATAATTACAGCTATCACTTCATTTTAAATATTTTTACATAAAATTTATATAATTCGGTTATTTATCGAACCAAATTGTATATTCAGTTTGGTAGACGGTATGAAATGTTGGCGTACAGAAATTTCGATTCGTTTTTACCGATTTAACATCAATAAATTTACCTCTGGAGGGGTATTTTCATAAGATAATACATAGTTGAGGGGGTGACTGTAATTACCCAAACATGAGGGTTTTTTTGTAATCAAGACACATACAAAAGCACACATATCCATGCGATTGAGCTAAACCTTGTATCAACTTACTATCCCAAACAAGTTGAGCTATCCATGGGGGCATGCTAAAGAGATTTTTTTTGTTTTTTTGGTAATTGAAGATCCCGCAGCCAAACCATTAACACTGAATAAATCTACACTCTCGTATAATAATTTGTAAGACATATATGTTGAAGAGATTTCTAGTACGAGGGAATGCGGTTAGCGTTAATAATAAGAGAGGTCGAAAAAAACCATTCTGAAAAGATTATTGGGCTAAAAACTATACATATATATTATATAGAAATTATGGGCCCGTTTTGATTATGGGCCGTGGGCATGGGCGGCCCGACATTTCAACCATGCAGCAAAAAAATCATTATCAACTGGGAAAGACGAAAGCCTAAGCCAAATATACATTTAAGGGAACTAGAAAAGTGCACGTGCGTTGCACGTGTCGTAATAAATATATAATATGTTGACGTCATGTTATTTGGCATCCTTAAGAATGGTGTGAGCCAGATACAAATTTGTTACACAAACAAAATATACAAGGGGATTTTCTGTAAAGTTGTTGAGCAATATTAGTTAAAACAAAGAAAAATAGTTTTATTCATAATGTTGTGAATAGTCTGCTTTTCTAAATGGACGTTAGATGTCATTGAAAATTCACTGCCCCACATGTATCATGAAAATGTAACTAATGTATAACTAATACATTGGATATCCCTCCATAACTTGAAAACGAAAAAAAATAGTCCTCATAATTACAAATTTTGCATAAATTGTATAATGTTGTTGTTTGCTAATCGTTATGGAAAATTAAGATTAATCAAGTGTAGCATAGAAGAAAGAAAAAAAATCATCCTTAATCTTAAGAAAATGGGTAAAATACAGTTTGCACCCCAGTAGTATCAAAAAGGTCGCTTTCACCCTCCTTAAGTATTAAAAAACTAAAAAAATCCCCATATTTTTTACAGCCGATTAACAGAAATAATACCATATTAAATTGTACCATATTTTTGACCCCTAAATTATACCATATGCAACACTTGCCTCCTTAAAGTATAATTTGTAACACTTACCCCGTCAACCATCATTGAATTTACTGATAAAAAAAATAACATTTAATTTGTATATCAAATTTTAATAGCTTCAAAATTTATCTTTTATTGGATGGAATAACTAAAAAGAATAATTAAATTATATTATTAAAATATATATTAACAAAATGTCATATCTTAATATTTAAAAATATTATATTGCATTGGGTACAAATTCAATAAAATAACATCTAATTGT